TATTATGTTCATTTAGAAGTGCTTAACCTACAAGGGTTGTACAGCACCTGGGAAAAGGGAGGAAATCAGGATTGATCCAGGAAGGACTACAAATGGAGTCCCCAGTGATCAGTATTGGTCCCTATATTGTTCCTAGTGTAAGTGCATGACTAGACACCAGGAATAAACTCATGTATTCTTACCTGCAGATTACAAAATGATGTGGTGACTAGAAACTGAAGAGGATTCAAGATTGCAATGAGATTTGGACATACATCAGGAATGGTCAAAGAAACTATTGCTAGTTTAACCACAAAAAAAAAAACTTTCTGAGATACTGGGAAAGAGACCTAGGATAAAAACACCAATGGAGATAAAAAGCTCTTGCAAACAGTTAAAGAAATTAGATCTTAAAATAACAATAACCCCAACTTCTTCACTGAAGCACACACACAATTACTATATTTACAACAAAATGCTAAACCCAAATGGATCATACAGCACAAAAAAGCAGGGAGTGAATGGGGAGGCATGTATAAAAGAAAAATTCGATGTTAATATAAGTTTTGTATAAGAAATGGCAGAGAGAGATTGCACTGAAGGCAACACTGTTTAAGAGTAATCATAATGAGAGCATCAGGGTGTAAAAAAAAAAAATGGAATAATCAAACGGTATCATATTATAATGGTGTACAATATTGACAAATTAATGAGTAAAACAAGTGCAACACTAGGTTATCTTTACTGATGAAATACTTCACCTGCACAGCAGGCTTCATCGGCCAACAGATCAAGGTAATTACAATATTGTCTCCAATACAAAAATCATCTCTATTCAACTGATGAAGCCTGATGAGCAGGTAAAATGTTTCAGGGTGCACTTGTGTCTTGCTCATTAATGAGATGTTGCACCATCAACAGAATACTGAAAGTTTCAGAGGTGTGCTGGGCATCTATCACTGAGATGCCAAGGTGCTAATTCACAAAGAACATTAGCAGAATACACAAAAGTTGTAAACATTGGGTCTTCCAAAACCTTGATAAGGACACATACCATACAAAACAATTTACATCATACTTGCATCCCATTATTTTATATGCAGTGAAACCTTA